CCCTCTACCTTCTGGGCTTGGTGGACTTCTACATGCAACTGGTGAGCACGGAGCTGGGCGTCACGGCCGCGGTGGGACGGCTCCTGCACCCACAGCCAGCCCTGCGTTTGCATCCTGAGCCGCTTCCCCCTGGGGCTGGCCCATGGGCGGTGGGGACAGCGGTGGGGACAGCGGTGGGGACAGCCAAGCCCCCTGCACATGGACAGCTTTCTCTTGCAGGTGGAAATCCCAAATGAAGGTGGCAGCTGTGGTGGTGGGGCCGTGAGTATCCCCAGTGTCAGCCCTCCCCTGCAGGGCTGTGGGGTCCCCGGGAGGGCTGTGGAGTCCCCAAAGAGGGCTGGTGTCTGCTGGAGGGGTGGGGTTCCCATGAGGGCTGTGGGATCCCCAGGAGGGCTGGGGTCTTTGGGAAGGCTGGGGTCTTCAGGAGGGCTGGGGTCCCCAAGAGGGCCGGGGTAACTGGGGGGGCTGTGGTGTCCCCAGAAGGGACGGCTCACCAGAGGACTGCGGTTTCCCCAGGAGGACTGGAGTCCTCAAGGAGGGCTGGGGTCCCCAGGGGGTTGCGGGTCCATGGGAGGACTGCGGTGTCCTGAGAAGGGTTGGGTCCCCGGGAGGCCTTTGGGGTCCCCAGGAGGGCAGGGCTCCAGCTGCCAGAGCTGGTGGGGGACCCAGCCGCATGGGGCGGGAAGGGCAGGGCCGGGCATCGGGGGACTGTCCCCCCCTTTCCAGGCCACCTGCAGCCCACCCACCTCCGCATTGCAGAGGAGCAGCCACATGGTGTGAGGGGTGGCAGCTGCCGCGTCCCCCTGAGGACGAACCCCCCCCGACCCACAGAGGAGCCTCAGCATTGCGTTGCGCACCCCAACAACTCGCCCCAGGGAAGGACAGGTTTTTGGGAGGGGGTTGCTTTCTGCTTTCTGGAGCTTAATTGCCGTGCATTAATTAAACGCTTTATTATTTTTTTCTACCTGAAATGTGCCCGTTTTCCTTCGCTGCCTCACTCCTGCGTGGTGGGGTGAGAGAGCTGCCCGGCTGGCAACCAGCCGCTCAGGGCTTGTTAGCTGCAAAGGATAATCATCATAACTGAAACGTCTGCCAAGATCAATAATTACCTGTGGAGTGTATTATAATCATCGTCATCATCATCATCACCATCATCATCGATAATATCTATAATATGAATAAATAATTTAATACAAGCATAATAGATCATATATTATACATCATATATATTGTATATATAATGTATAATGTGTAATATATAATGTAATATGATAGAATATAGAATATAGACTATAGAATATAGCATAGAATTAATACAATCTGCAATATAATACAGATCACTCAGCAATTACCGTCACGGGCAAAACAGACTCGACTCGGGGAAACTAATCTCATTTATTGCCAATCAAGTCAGAGTAGGATAATGAGAAATAAGAACAGATCTGAAAACACCTTCCCCCCACACTGCCCTTCTTCCCGGGCTCAACTTCCCTCACGATTTCTCCACCTCCTCCCCCCGAGCGGTGCAGCG